TTCATCATTATACAAAAGAGTCACACCAGCCTCCTCACCAGAATACCATGCCCTTCCTTATGCTGTTTCTGCAATTCGGAATGTTTTTCCCTCTGCCTGAATTTCCCTTCCCTCCATTCTTTGCTTATTAAGATCCTCATATTTCAAGGCTCACCTCAAATGCCTCGATGAAGGTCAAGGGGGACAATGATCTGTGAACTAGTAAAATAATCTAGGCAAGAGTGAGTGTTTGGCATAGCAGATGGGACCCACTTGGAACGCCCACATTCCATGTTATGGAGGCTGAGACCTAAAAGGTCCCAGCTCTGCTTCCAATTTCAGTTTCTTGCTAGCACACAACCAGGGAGGTTAGCAAGTGATGGCTCCAGCACTCGTGTCCTTGTCATCCACCTGGACCTATACTGAATCCCCAGCTTCATTACAGGCATTCAGGGAATGAACCAGCAGATGGAAGTTCTATATTTCTGCCTCTCAAACAAGTAGTTTAAAAAAGAAAAGTTTGGCTAAAAATGAACTGAGAAACACAAGTATAGTCTCAAGAGGGGGAAGACAGGCTAGGTTTTGTTCCTTTGTTATTAGTTTTTATTTGTTTACAAAGCTTGACTTTAAGCTTGTTTAAATGTTGACTAGAGACTAAAAAGATGATGAGTTGAAAAAAAATGTGAGAGTATAATAAAAAACAGGCAAAGTCTCTCTGAAATGGAGCACACAAAAGGAGTGGTTTTGAACTGAGGCAGCAACATCTCTTCCACTGTAATGGAAAACTAATAGGGTGTTTTCCTCTAGAATTGAGGGCACATATTGTAAACAGTAGATGAGATACATAGGCCAAAAGGTAGATCTTGAATGCCAAGCTAAACAATTTGAGCATTACTAGAACAGCCAATAAGGAAATTAATAAAAGTCACTTAAACATAAAATTATTAACTCCACGGGGCTGGCCCCGTGGCATAGTAGGTTAATCCTCCTCCTGTGGCGCTGGCATTCCATATGGGCACCCGTTCATGTTCCGGCTACTCCTCTTCCAATCCAGCTCTCTGCTATGGCCTGGGAAAGCAGTGGAAGATGGCCCCAGTCCCTGGGCCCCTGCACCCACACGGGAGACCCGGAAGAAGCTGCTGGCTCCTGATCGGCTCAGCTCCGACCATTGTGGCCACTTGGGGAGAGAACCAATGGAAGGAGACCTTTCTCTCTGTCTCTCCCTCTCACTGTCTATAACTCTACCTCTCAAATAAATCTTTAAAAAAATTAACTCTAGGACACCATTTCATTTAATAAATTGTAATTGAGCTACTATTATAGGAAAAAAAGTCACTGAATTTGATACTATGAATCTTTTTTAAGATTTATTTTATTTCTTTGAAAGGCAGTTACAGACAGAGAGGGAAAGAGAGAGAAGAGAAAGAGAGAAAATTTCTATCCAACTGCTGGTTCACTCGCCAAATTGCCACAATGTTATTAGCCCCTGGTCCCAATTTCAATTTCCTGCCAGTGCAGACCCTGGGAGGCAGCAGATGATGACCCAAATATTTGGTCCCTGCCACCCACATAAGAGACCAATTAGGTTTCTGACTTCTGCCTAGCCCAGCTAGAATTGATGTTTGAGAAGTGAACCAGTGGATGGAGTTGTGTTTGTCCCTGGGCCTTTCAAATTGAAGAAAAAAACCAAAACATTGAATTTAGCATTCTGAGATCATTCATAATATTGTTTACAGTGGTATCAGAGGAAATAAACTCACTCAAGACTCACAATACTGGGCAAGCATTGTGGTACAGAGGGTTAAGCCACCACCTGAGATGCCTGATCCCATAAAGAAACATGGGTTCAAGCCCTGGGTGCTCTACTTTCCATCCAGTATCTTGCCAATGTGCCTGGGAAAGCAGCAGAAGACAGCCCAAGTGCTTGGGCCCCTGCACCCATGTGGGAGACCTGGATGAAGCTCCTGGCTTTGGGCTGGCCCAGCCCTGGCTGTTGAGGCCATTTGGGGAATGAACCAATGGATAGAAGTGCTCTCTCTCTCTCTATAAATCTGCCTTTCAAACAAATAAATAAATAAATCTAGAAGAAAGGAAGAAATTGGGACCAGAGCCAAGACCTAAACCTAGTGATTCCAGTATGCGATGCGGGTGTCTTAACCCACTAAGCAAAACACCGCCCCTAAATCCAACTTTTAATTTTCAGTCCTCATCTTACTCAACCTATCAACAGTACTTTGATGTAGGCAAAACATTCTCTCCTCTTTAAAACACTTTGTTTACTTGGCTTCTAGGTTTTCTTCTTACTTTTCTAGCAGCTTCTTCAGTCTCTATACTACACAATTTCTATTCATCACAAGCACTTAAGACTCAATGCTTAGATCATCTCTCTTTCCATTCCACACTCTTTCTTCATACTCTTACACAGTCTCTTGGCTCCCCTAGAATGTAGCTTCAATAGGGTAGAACTCTGCAGCTATTTTGTTTCTGCTGAGTCTCCCACACCTGAAATCCTATCTGGCATGTAGATGTTTGACAAATATTTGTTCAATAAATGGACAGGTTAATAGATATGCATCTATAAACTGATGACTCTCCAATTTATATTTCCTGCCTGGATTTATGTCCTGAATCCAGATACATCCATCTGCCTATTTTCTTCACTTGGATGTCTAAAAAGCATCTCAAAGTCCAAAAGAGAACTCCAAGCACAATCCCAAAGCCTTCCCCAATCAACCTTATTTTCTTAGCAAAGAGCAGCTCCATCCTTCTTAATATTTCAAATGAAAATTTTTGAATCATCCTCAACTCCTTTTCATCCTCTCACAACACATACCTAAGCTGCCAACAAATACTGTTTATTCTGCCTTTAGAATGCACACAGCATCTGACTACTTCTCACCATTTCTGCTGTCATCTAGCCGTTATCATCTCTGACCTTGATGAATGCAACAGCCTCCTAACTGCTGCTCCTAATTCTGTCTATCTCCACCCTGTCAATTCAGTTTGTTCTCAGGACCACAATCAACAAATTTTTCTCAAGCTGAAGTCAGGTCATGTCACTTCTATTTATAAACCTGCAATTATTCTATGCCCACTTTGCTGAGTAAAAGCTCAAATCCTGTAACTGCTTATAAAGCTCTATTCAATCTGGCTCTATTACAACTCTGATCTCATCGCTACTACTTTTCCCTCAGTGTGCTCCATTCATACTGGCTTCCTCTGCTATGCCTTCCAAAGGTCAAGCACATTTCCACTTTAGGACTTTTTCTCCTATTGTTCCCTAACCTGGAAAGCTCTTCCCTGAGATACTTGCATCCCACCAATCCCTTCCTGTCTGCTCAACTGTCACTTTCCCCGTGATTGCCCCCTGAGTAGTATATTTAAAATCGCATTCATTTTCACTTCTCTCTGCTCTGTTTTTCTCCACAAACCTGTTCACCGCCTAAAATACTGCACATTTTACTTTCTGAGACATAATCTTGAAGAGTGCAAGACTTTATGTCCGTTTCATTTACGGCTATAAGCCTGGCATTTAAATCAGTGTCTGGCATGCAGAAAGCGATCAAGTCTGTCTCCCGAACTAAAGCTTTCATTCTCACCTAACGATCATCTAGTCCGGTACATCAGGGAAAGATCCTAAAGCGGCTCCAGGATTTCTTCCAGAGCACGGATCCCTAGAAGGATTGTACTTTGCCTAGAAAGAAAAACTGTACTTTGTCCAGTCGACCACAAGGAGGAGTTGAGAGGAAGAGTGGAGCTAAGAAGAACCAGACATTGTTTCCCTTGCTTTTCCAGCAGTAACCTCAAGGTGGAAGAAAACTGGATTCGGAGCCGACTATACTGAATGAATGATTTTTCTCCATACTACGAGTGACCTAGGCACACATACACGTAACCATTAAACACCATACATAATCCTTTCGAACGCCACAAAAAGGCTAAGAGAATCCATCCACAGGCTACTAAGGCCCGGGAGGGTATTTCTTTAACTCCTCTCCATAAAGCCAGGCGAAGAGTTCCCAAAAGTGCTGAGCGAGAAGTTGGCAACGAGGGCCAAGGTGTTCCAGGTCATCGGGACCCTCCGTCCGGAGGGCTATCAGGTGGATCCTATGGAACACCGGACGCACCCTACCACTTTCAATCGGCCCAAGCAACGCGGTCGCACGTCTCCATTCTCCGATTCTGCCAATCGCACGTAACTCCGGAACACCGGAATCCATTTCCCACGGGCCGCCGACTCACCTCCACCTGTTGATGCCCACGTTGGAGGAGCCGGCGAACCAGGGGTCGAGGATGTAGACGCAGCGGATGGTGTCGGCGCCCTGAATGCATTCCTTCAGGGCGGGGTTGTCGTGGAGCCGAAGCCCCTTGCGAAACCAGTGCACGGCGTTCACCCCCATAGCCTGGGGCCGGGTGGGGGCGCGGGTCGTCGCCGACTTCCTCCAGCCAGAAACTCAAGGAAGGAGGGGCCGGCTCATAACCGACACCTTCGCTTCCAGGAGAATCGCCGCGCCCGAGGGGTGAGGAACGGGCGGCCGACCGGGCACGGGGGAAACTGAGTCCGAGGAGGGGGCTCGAGGGGGCGCGGGCGCCGGACGCGCAGCTGGACGATGAATGGAGGCTGCCCGGTCGGCAGAGTCCGGCTGTGACGCCCTTCAGGCGCCGCCGCTCGCTGCAAGCGCCCGCAGGAGACGCATAACTTCCAGGGCCTCGGACCCTCGGAGCGTGAGTAAATTCCAGAAGCTCGAGCCGCCTCGACGGCCCGAGCCGGCCCCGACAGCCCCAGGAGGTTCGTCACGGAAACCTCGCCCCACCGAGGCGGCCGCTGTGGCGAAAACGACCCGCCTGAGGTGAGTCACCGAGAGGAACGAGAGGGGATTCAGCCCCTGTCGGCGACGCTGTCTCTCGGCCCGAGAGAGAGGATGGAGAGCGAGAGACCGGACCGAAAACGGAGGACGAAGGCGGTGGTCGAGGCCGCTGGACGGCTGCCGGCCGGTCACCGGTCCCGAGGCTGCCCGGGTGACTCCGCCACCGCCGCGCCGCGTCAGCGGCCTCGGCCCCGCCCCCGGCCCCTCATTGGAGGGCGCGCTCCCCACGTGACCACCGGCACCTCACGTTTCTGAAGTGTGTTTACTACACTAGGTCTGGCTGGGGAATCTGCTCGCACTTCAGACGCTTCCGGAGCGGCAGCAGCCCCCAGACCCCAGAATTGCCGGTCCTCGGCCAGACAGGGGGCTCCCTGCTTCTCTACCCCTTCCCTAGGCCGACTGGTTGCTGTCCGCTGGAGGCACCCAAGGCGGCCACAGGCCCCATGTGACGGGAGGCTTGGCCCCGCCCCCGGGGGCCGGGAGCGGCCGCCATTGGCTGGGGCTTGCTGAGACCCGGATGAGCACGGGGCTGCGGGGAGCTCGCGGGCGCGCGCTCTCCTCTGGCAGGCGCGCGTGCGCTCTCCCTGCGTTCCAGAGGAGAGGAGGGCGGGGCCGAGGAACCGGAGCGCGCCCGGTTGTTCCTCGTGTGGGATGGGGGGGAGAGGGGGGTCGACCGTGTCCTCGGAGAGTTAACTGTGGATCCCAGAGGGGAGCTGGGGGTGGGGGGATGGAGGCGGAGGTACTGGGTGTTGGAGGGTGACTGTGTTCAGCTCCAGGTGGGTTTCAAGCACAAAACCGTGTGCCTCACCCAGGTTTAGCCGGAGAGCCTTGCTAGGTGTGTGTGGAGCTGGCGCCCCCGCCATTTTTGTGCCCTTTTGCGCGGCGCACTTGCACGTGGCCCTGGCGAAGAGGGGCCCCCGGCAGAGCGAGGCATCCCCGAGCCTCACGGAATTCAACAGCGTATCAATCCTGATCTCTTACACTCAGTGTGGTTTCCAGGGCTTCGCGATTGGGACCTTCGTGCACTTGAACCGGACCGTGCCTTATGATGCGCTTACATTCACTCAACAGTTAGTTATTGAACAAAGCACTGGAGATGAAGTAGACAAAAATCGCAGCCCTCCTGGGGTTTTCCGTTTGGCTCTTAACCTATTCATGTGCTAGTTTTCCCTCTAAAATGCTGTTCTTTGGAATCGCTATTCCCTGCAGCCACCTTCCCGCTGCCTAATGTATTTCTACACATCGCTTTACAGTCAGGCTCTGATGAAATGCTGCCTAATTTGTGAAAACAATCCATCTGCTAGAGCAGATTTTAGACCTCCCTGAGCTCTCCAAGCATGCATGTGATACATCAGCCCATCATTGTGAAGATTAAATGTTATCATACAATGTCTCTGATTCCTTCCCAAGGCCAGAGTCTCTATCTAGTTTATATTTTACATCACCAGTAGCCAGTACGGAGCCTGATATACATCATTCAAATGTTTATTGAATAAGTGAATGAGTGAATCCTGTAGCCACCAATGCATCTGTCATGGCAAAGTTAAAGAAAGGAAAGCCCAGTGGGCATTTGACATAGTGGTTAAGACCCTGGTTGGGTCCAATATCAGGCTGGGCTTAAGTCCTGGCTCCACTTACAACCCAGTTTCCTGCTAATGTGCGTCTGGGGAGGCAGCAAGTGATGGCTCAAGTTCATGGATCACTGCCATCCTTGTCAGAGACCTGATAGCTTCCCAGGTTCCTGGTCTTGGCCTGCGTGAGCCCTGGCTGTTGTGGGCATTTGGAAAGTGAAGGAGTAGATGAAAGATCTTTGTCTATATCTCTCTGCCTTTCAAATAAAATTTTAAAAATTACAAAGAATGGGGGCAGGTGTTGTGATGCAGCAGGTTAGGCCTGTGCTTGGGACTCCCATATCCCATATAGAAGTGTAAATTCAAGTCTGGGCTAATCTGCTTCCAATCCGGCTTCCTGCTAATGCCCAAAGGAAGACAGTGGAAGATGGCCCAAAGACTTGGGCCCCTGCCACTCAGGTGAGAGACCTGGGTGGAGTTCCTGGCTCCTAGCTTCAGTGTGACACAGCCCCAGCTTTTGCAGGCATTTGAAGAGTGAACCAGCAGATGGAAGAGCTCTTCTCTCTCTTTCACTCTGCCTTTGAAATAAATCCTTTTTTTTTTAAGTTTAATGCAGTGTTTTATGTTCATTTTAGGCAATTTGAAAGTAGGCAGATTGTGTCAAAAGACAGAAATTGTTTCAAGCATCCAAATGAAACGGTGGGAGGTGGAGAGACTATTGATCCATGTAGAGTTGACTTATGTTTGTAGATTGTTCATTCAGTGAAGCTGGATTTTTTTTTAACAGACAGCTGTGTGTGGGTGTGTGTGTGTGTGTAACTTCCATGTAAACATAGAAGTACCAATTTATGATAAAAACGTCAGCATTGGTGACTGCATTTCTTAAATACTCAAGGGTTTTTTTTGGCACGTAGATGGTTACGTTAATATATCTGCATTTGGGGGGGGGAGAGATTATCATTTAATAATGGCAGTGATTCGTAGAGCTCCTATGCACTATGTTCTTCCTATGGATTATTGTTAAGCATGATTTTAGATACGTTTTTAATTATCATTTCATAAGTATTATTTGAACATATCTATGTCCATCTTGCTGGTGAAGAAACTAACATTCATAATCAGAAGTAGTAAAACCAGATGAAGGGGCCAGCGCTGTGGCACAGCGGGTTAAAGCCCTGGCCTGAAGCGCTGGCATCCTATCTGGGCACTGGTTCAAGACCTGGCTGCTCCACTTCCCATCCAGCTCTCTGCTATGGCCTGGGACAGCAGCAGAAAATGGCCCAAGTCCTTGGGCCCCTGCACCTACGTGGGAGACCCTGAAGAAGCTCCTGGCTTCGGATCGGTGCAGTTCCGGCCGTTGCGGCCAACTGGGGAGTGAACCGTTAGATGGAAGACCTCTCTCTCTCTCTCTGCCTCTCCTCTCTCTGTGTAACTCTGACTTTCAAGTAAAATAAATAAATCTTAAAAAAAAAAAAAAACAGATCTGAACCCAAATCTCTTTCACATCCCTCGTAGATACTCCCTCTTCTTTTCAGAGTGAATATTACGTATGAAGGGGGAAGGAAGGGATGGGAAACATTGTCAGGAATTATTTGTGAAATTCTGTTTGGCTCCAACATCGAGATGGAAAGAGTGGGGACTATAAGGAAGAGACTGGGTCATATCTCAGCTCAACATTAGTTAGTTCATGATCTTGAACAAGCCATCTAGGCCTTCTTGGTCTGACTAATTGCTCTGTAAAATGAGGGGATCGAGCTGGGGGATTTCTAACTTTTCCATGCTGTTTTAAAATTCAGCAACCAGAGTCCTGCCCTGGGGTCAAGAATATCTGAGAAGCGTTCTGTTAAACATTCTTTTAACTGCCAGCAATGTTAGCAAAATCAATATCTGTCTGATTTCAAGAGCACCCTTGATAAAAGTACATCAACCTCTAAACTGAAAGCTGATGGTCTCTCTAACCTCATCTTGTAAAGGTGATTTTTGGCATGTGTTATCAATACACAAATAATGGAATAGACAGCCCAACCAACTCATTCTCGAAGTGATAGGAATATTGACTGAGTGCGCCAAACTAGAGTCTTTGGGGAATTGAATTTAAATGTGTTAAAGGATAGTTATTTTTGAAAAGGTCTTCAAAAATTCATGGAAAATATGTATTATGAAAAACTGCATGGATCCCAAAATGTTATTGTGCCAAAATAAATAATAAATTAGTAATCTGAACACATGTCAAAGATTTCACTTAACATGTTCTGAGATGTTATAATGGGTTAAAGAGCAGTTACATACATAGGCCATGTTATAGTTTAGATATTTTTTAAATTAACCTATTTGAAATGCACAGGGACAGAGATGGAGTCTCTGTCTCTGTCTCTCTGTCTCTTTCACATACACACACACACACACACACACACACAGATCTTCCATCTGCTAGTACACTGACCGAGTTCCTAAAAATGGCTGAGGCTGGACAGGGCCAAAGCCAGGAGCCTGGAACTCCATCTGGGTTTTCCATGTCAGTGGCAAGGGTGCAAGTAAGTGGGACATCTTCCACTACTTTCCTAGGTACATTAGCAGGGCGCTGGATCAGAAGCAGAGCACCTGGGACTTGAACCAGTGTTCCAATATGGGATGTGGCATCAAAAGCAGTGGCTTAATCCAGTGTGCCAAAAGCTAGCCTAGTTTGAATATGCTTTCTCCCTACTGAAACTGAGATTATCATTTAGACCCTAATGGAACAGTGTTGAGAGACTGTGTGGACTTTAAGAGTAATTATGCCAGGGGGTTTCACTCTAAAGAAGGGATTAATGTAGTTCTCTCAAGATTGGGTTAATTATCTCAACTCGATTATGATAAAGCAAGCTTATGTTCTATCTTTTCCTCATATGCTGCTCACATGTACTCCCATGTGATGTCATCCACAATGTTATGACATTATGTGAAGCCCTTACCAGGTGCAGC